CTCAGGAGTTTGAGGATCATAGAGAGAGGAGTGGGGAGCAGGCCTGGCAGGGTTCCTCAGGACTGACCATTCCAGGGAGCTTCGGGAGCTTCTGATGCAGACAGGGGCAGGACTGGATTCATTTCGGTTTCTAGCATCCATGATGGTGACTGCCCCAGGGAAGGCTGTTGGTAATTGTATTGCTGCTCAAGGATGGTGCAAGCTGATGATGATTCCAGATGGGACTGCACTGTCACCTGGTGGCCACATCAGCACATAGCACCACAGAATTGTGCAGGCCTGCTGTGAGGGAGTGAGCTGACATTCAAGGGTCTGGGAGCCAGGGAGGCCCTTAAAGAATAAAAGAAATCCCTAGATAAAGGGGTCTTATTTAAGAGCATGACACCTCTAACTTGAGCACATGGGACCATTGTGACCATCTGGTCTAGATGAGAGTCCAACTCTTCCCCTTTTCCATTTCATAGTCTAGGACACTGAGCTCCAGGGAGGAATGATGAGGACAGAGGACCTCAGCATTGTTTTCCATCAAGTCAACCATACAGATGGGATCTACTTTTTTTGGACTTGTCTTAGGATGTGGTCCCAGAGTGAGGAACCACCCTGCTACTTACTAGTCACTCTCATTTATGACCCAGCATGGCATCTCAGCAGCATCACTCACCTTAGTACCAAAGCTGGCAACCGATGGCTTTGGCAGCTTCAAAAATAAAATCCACCCTCAGAGGGCCAGGATCTAACAGGGCCAGGGGGATTCAGAAGCATATGCTTCAGGTTCAGCAGTTTTAGAGCAGGACGTGTCCTGGAGACTATGATATTCAACCCCGCTGGTTCTAAAAAAACAAGGAAGCTGGGACTCAGAGAGGACAAGTAACCTGCCTGAGGCACCCCGCCCTGGAGATGCACCAGGACTCAGCTATGCATCTCTCTGAAGGCCATTGTCAAGGAGGCCTAAGAATGCATTAGCATCTCCTGACCTGTTGCATTAGTGAATTCTAGTCTGTGTTCAACATTCTGCCTCATACTTTGTAGAAAGGATGATTGTGGTCTGTGAGGGCTGACAAGGGCCAAGGCAGGTAAAAGGAGTTAAGGGTGAGGAGTTGATGACAGGAAGGGAGAAGGGGGGTCATGGATGCTTTGGGGGACTCCCAGTTTGTATACTGTGGGCTCCAAGTAAGTAGGAACTGGGTCTCCTCCACTGCAGTGTCCTTAACACCCGGCACAGTGCCTGGCACAGACTGAGTGACCAGTGAATGTAGCAGAATAAAGATGAGGAATTTTCCTGCACAGGACCAAAGGGACCCTGTGGTCAGTGGAGTCTCCCCTTAAAGACAGGTTATTTTCGGGCCGGCCGAGTGGCTCAGTTGGTTAAGAGCTCGCTCCAGAGTTTGAGCTCTGAGCAACAGCAGTTCGAGTCCAGCCCGAGCTGAGCAGCCGCTGAGCTGCCAACAGGTAGCAGGATGGCTCAGCTAAAAAAAAAAAAAAAAGACAGGTTATTTTCAATGTCATTCAGCCTGAGAACTGCTGAGGCCTCAGATCTAAAATCCAGGAGCAGAGTTGTCCATCTCTCTTTGGCCTTGATGTTATTCAAGTGAATCAGATGCCAAGGGCATAAGTGGAGGATGTATATTTCCTGGGGCAGGGTGCCCAACCTTGGGAGAAAGGAAGAGCATGATCTAATTCCTGGTTGGTATTTGGCTATTTCCTCTTTGCTTTCTGCTAGTCCCTAATCATAATAATAACACACTGACAGAGTGCTCACTATGTGCTAGGCACCATGCTAGGCTCTTTCGGTTCATTATTTCATTTGATCTCATAACAAAAACCCATGAGGTATGTGCTATTATCATTCTCAGTTTAGGAGGAAACCAAGTCACAGAGAGGTGAAGGGAGTTATGCTAGGGTATATAGGGCAGGAAGTGAACCCAGATCTGCAGGACTCCAGAAGAACATTCTTTTTTTTTTTTTTTTAAGATTTTTATTGGGGAAGTGGGGTATGGGAACAGCGCTGGGGAATTGGGGGAAGGGGAACAGACAAGTTGCTGTCCTTTTGTTCTTCAGTCTAGTTGTGGAGGATGTCGCTTCACTGGCCCAAGTTGGCACCATCATTGCGCTCTTCCCAGGCGAGGCAGATCCGTCGCCGGCTTTTGGACGGCCGTTCACTGCAGCTGCTAGCCGCTCACGCTGGCTGCTAGCCGCTCACGCTGGCTGCTGGCCACACACGGCAGCCCACGGCAACCCACTGCCACAGGGGCTGCAGCCTACCCCGTCAGGGCAGCCCAGCTCCAGGTCGAGCTGTTGTTCAGCATCTTAGCTGTGGAGGGCAGTGTCACCGGCCCTCATATGTGGGATCCAAACCGGGGCCCTTTGGCATCCCAAGCCAGTTCTTAACCATTGCGCCACTTGGTCGGCCCTAGAACATTCTTAATTACCAAGAGGCTCCACTGCTTCATTTGAAAACTCACCTGTGCTAGAGAATATTGAGTAAAAGTTTAGGGGTCTGTGTTTATTTAGACCACAGTGTTAAAGGGGGTACAGGTCCCCCTCCCCCAGGCCTGCATGGTGGTGACAGCGGCATTATCAATAGTCTCCCAGAGAAAAAACATGAATTCCAGTCACACCTTCCCATGTAGATTGGAGGAGGTGAAAGGGACAGGTAGATGGGAGTGGAGGAGACTGACCTCAGCTTCAATTTTGCCCACTTATGTTGAGCACCTACTGTGCGCCAAGCCTATTCTGGGCACTGGGGAGAAGAGAAAACTTAGACACAGTGCCCTCCCTGAAGGGGCTGAAGGACACACACTTAGGTCTTGGGGATGTCAACCCTACAGACAAACTGGGCTGAATTAATAGGCCTCAACAGAGTGTGATTCTGGAGACCCCAGACGTTTAATCAATCTGCTCCTCCACGGATAGCCCTAGCCCAGGCAAGACTCTGTTCGTGCCTGTATGGTGAGTATCAGGTCAGGGATTCCACATAGCTTCTGCCCTTGGGCACAAGCTGTGGAGACAGTGTTTGAGGTGCAGATGGTGCCTATCACACCTGGGTACCTCTTCTACAAACAGTGCTTCTCTGGGGGCCTGGGGCAAACCAGCTGAGGCAAACACTTGCCATCTGCAGAGGTAGCATTGGACCTGGGGGCAGGAGCAAGCAGGATGGGCCTCTTACCCACCCACCCACACAGGTTTGTAATCAAAAAAGAATCTCTGGATTATAAGTGGAGCTGGGTGGAGAGGCCTGAGGACAGTTGGCTTGGACTTTATGTGACCAAAGTTTGTGGTTCACACACGGCCTTTTCCCAGGGGTGCAGATCTCCCAGGAGGCTGGGTTGGCATTGAGGCTGGTACCCGCTCATAGAACAGAAGCACAACATTATTTTCTCTCTCTTTCCACTAGTGCTGGAAACAGCCCTACCCTCACTACCATTTAATTTCCAAGGCTTCTTTGCCTTTCCATTGCCTAGGTCCTGGTACCCTGCTTAACTCGGACAGGCCTCCCAAACTTCAAATCTCCCCAAACGCTTGGGTTGGCCTTCCCTTTCCCACTCAGAAGGCATATGGGCTCCAGATGCAAACTGTCCACCCTATCCCCAGAGTTCTCTGAGGTAAGGGAGGCCTTGCTGAGCCCCTCAAAGCTGCTGTTATACCCTTTCCCCAAGTCAAAGGTCTAGCATTATATTATCCATTCGAGAGAGACCACTCTGGTGCTTCTTCAGAGAACAGAGAACAGGTGTCTACGTTTCTGCCTAATCGAGGAAGTAGCTGGAAGCTTCTCTCACTGAGAACAAACTGAGCTCTGCCTCCCCAGATCCCCTATGAAATAGAGCCTGAGTGTTCATGCTGTGACAGGGGCAGCAGGAGGCTTGGCTGGGAAGAAGTCCCAGAGTGGGGGATGTCTGAGCCAGGTTATGAGTTTCAGAAGAAAATTCTAGGCAGAAAGAATGGTACGTGCCAACGCCCAGAGACAAAATCCGCTGGTTGTATTTCAGGAGCTGACTCTGGTTGACTTTAGGGAGAAATGGGGGTGAAGCAGACCAGAGTTAGAACTTCTTGGGCTTCTCATAGCAAGGGGGACTCACAGGACCAAGTTTTGCTTTTGTTTTTTCCAGATGAATAAATTAGTTTGTTTTATAATAATTTTTAAATTATTATAATTTTTAAATTATTATAATTTTTAAAATTTTTATAAAAATTTTTATATAAAAATGACTTCCTATATCTTCTAACCAGTGGTTGTACTTCTGTCCCCTGAAATAGCATAAAATATTTTATTTTTATTTATTTTTATTTTTTTAAAGGTTTTATTGGGGAATTGGGGGAGGGGAACAGTGTTGGGGAATCGGGGAAGGGGAACAGACAAGTTGCTGTCCTTTTGTTCTTCAGTCTAGTTGTGGAGGACGTGGCTTCACTGGCCCATGTTGGTATTATCATTGCGCTCTTCCCAGGTGAGGCAGTCGCTCGCCGGCCATTGGACGGCCGCTCACGACGGCTCACGAAAGCTCACGCCCGCTACCAGCCAGCCCCACTGCAGCCTACCCCATCTCCAGCGACTCATGGCAGCCCAGCTCCAGGTTGAGCTGTTGTTCACCATCTTAGCTGTAGAGGGTGCAGTGACACTGGCCCTAATGTGGGGTCCGAACCGGGGCCCTGCTGCTCCCAAGCCAACTCCTAACCAACATGCCACTCGGCCGACCCATAGCATAAAATATTTTAACATGTTTCCATGCACTGCTCAATTGAATATGTAAAAAGAGCTTTCATGTTCTTCCACATGTCATCGTTTTTTCTCATTTAAACATACCCAGAAGGTTAAAACATTTATCACATGTAAGCGTCTCCATAATTTCACCACTTTTATAGTACCTGAGTAGGAATGCCTCATTTTGAGTGTTCTGATGTGTCCAGTTCCTGCACGGTGACCAGATGTTTGTTGTTGTTGTTTTTAAACATTTAGTTATTTTTTTTTAATTTTTAAAAGTATATTTATTTTTCAGTTACAGTTGACATTAAATCATATTTATGTTAGTTTCAGGTGTACAGCATAGTAGTTAGACATTTATATAATTTATGCAGTGATTCCCCCGCAACAAAGTGTTTTCTGAGAAAAGTTTTTACCTATGTCCCTAAAGAGTGTAACAGAGAAAGCTCTGGACTGCAACTGGAAGAAGGAGGAGGGGGTGTTCCTGGGAGCGGCTGACTACTCATCCTCCTCTTCTGCTCCATTGCTTTTCAGCTTGTGGACCGTGTAGCCCAGAGCAGCACCAACCTTGGCCATGAGGGCACTACCACCGCCAGCACCTGTAAAGCAAACACAGCCAGGTGGCTTGGGGCCCAGGCATCAGGCCTAAGAATCCAAAAGTCAGGAAACCATAGGTCAAACCTTCATTTTCAGATGGAGAAACAGAAGCCCTGAGAGGGGACAGGACTTCTGTAAAGTGAATTTTATTTATTCCCCTCCCCCAACTTGACACCTCAAATCAGAGATGTGTTTCAGAGGTGAAAAAAAAGACAAAATAACAGCTCATTCTCTTCACGTCTGCGATGAACACATGGTATAATTAATAATGCTAATAACAGCCACCTTTGTGGAGGCCTCCCTGTGGGTCCTGGGGGCAAGGTCACAAGAAAGAGATTTCATCCTTGTCACAACCCTGTGATGTGTGAGAGGACAACCATCTTATAACACAGGACTGTTTCTAGCCCTGCCCAAACCCTTCACTTCCCACTGCTGGGGCGTGGCCTGGTCTGTCTTCCCCTCTGCCCATCTGAGAAGGGCTCTTTTCTTTTGGGCTAGTTCTTTGGACTTTATCATCCAGAGTTGAGAGAAAATGGAGAGTTCAGAAAGGCAGAGAGGCAATTTATCAGGGGCGGTTTTTCTCTAGGATTTGGAGGCCTCAGAGATAGAGAGGGAGAAAGAAATAGAAAAAGGGTGGAGGAGAGAGAGAGGGTGAGGGACAGAGAGAGAGGGAGGGAGGAAGGGAGGGAGGCAGGGAGGGAAGAGGGGGATAAGGAGAGATACACAGAGAGAAACACGAATGCACATTTTTTAGAAGGAGCATTCTGAGCCCTGTATCTATCCCTTTCATGGTGTTCAGTAAATGCACGTCAAGATGGGTTGGTATGAGATTGAATTGGGTTGCCTCACCACTTGTCTTTGCCACCCTGGGTCTCTGAGATAAAGCAGATTTATAAAATGTTAAATTGAGGATGATTATCCCAATTAACAGATGAGGAAACTGAGACTAGTTGTGACTTGGCTAAAGCATCAGTGAGGCACCTGGCTAAAAGCAAGGAATCAGACTGACTGGGTTTAAATCCTGGCCCTGGCACAAACTAGCTGGTGAACTTGAGTAAATTACTTAATCTCTCATTGCCTCAGTTTCCCCATTGTATGATGGGGAGTAGAAGAATACCCGCCTCAGAGAGTTGAGTTAGCTTGTGAAAAGGACTCAGAAAAGAGGGCCGTGTGGCCCTGGTGTCTCTGCCCTAAGGCCCGGCCCCCGACTCACCAAGGCTCTGCAGCGTGGCCACCAGCCCCCCAGCGGGCACGCCGCCTCCGTTCGCCACCGCCGACCAGCTCATCAGCGAGGCAGCCAAAGAGTTGGCGGCGATGCCGGTGCCCGTGAAGCCCAGCACGGGCAGCCCCGCGGCCAGGAGCCCTGGAGGAAGAGGAGGCGGTGAGGGAGCGCTCGCGGCCGGCGGCCGCCCCACCTTCCGAGCTCCCCGCCCTGCGGACCCACCTCCTCCGACCGCCATGTAGGTCAGCGCGCTCCAGAACCCGGAGCCGCTGTCCTCCTCGGACTTCTTCGAGGATTTTTGTGTGCCTGTCGGGAGAACAGACAAGGGAATCAGAGAGGGGAGCAAGGTTCCTTACTCTGCCTGATGCTCAGGAACGCCCGCAGAGCTGGGGGCCACCATCCTCCGGGTTCGGAGAACCTCACTGAAAGGAACAGACCCCCCCCCCCAAGACACAGTGCCTGGCACATAACTGGCATGAATAAATAAACGTCTGTAGAATGGAGGAATTGACAGAGGGATTCGAATCTGGGACTCTGATCACGACAAGCCTGCGCTGTTCACTGTAATAGCTCCTCTGGTTCACAGGCACGCCTGGGTCTCTAAACCAAGGTTCCTGAAACTCGCCACTTCTTTCTCCTCGAGTCCTGTCTTACCTGCCTCCACTCCGCCGCAAGTGTAGAGTAGCAGGTAGCATAAGAAGAGCGATACCGCCTTCTGCTGCATGGTGGCGCTGCGCGCAGGCTTTCTCACTGGACCTGGGGATGGGGAGAGGGAAGAGATTGTCCAGAGCCGTTTGCGAGCTACACCCGCTGGGCTGTTTTCTCTCCCGATTGGAGCATGAGTTCATGAAAAGCAGCGAGGTGCTCCGGACTGAGCCAAGAAGCGCCCTAAGGAGCCGCGGGATTTCCGTTTCCTCGCGGCAACGACCGCGGTGATGTTCCTGTCTCACGGGGTGAGAGGTAAGGTTCCTGGCACATGCCGTGTGCTCAGTGATGTCAGCTATTAGCATTGTTGTGGTTTCTGTTCTTGACTTAGTTGTCTCTGGCTGTGTCACCTCAGGCAGGATACTGGGATCTTCTCTGGGCCTCAATTTACTTATCCCTAAGATGGGTATCAATAGAGCCTATTTCAGAGGGTAGCCTTGAGTTTTGAAACTGTTCACCACTATGTCCCTAGCACTTAGAACAGTGCCTGTCTCATAGAATTTTCTAAAAAATGGTTGTTGTTAAACTTATTTTTCCAACGCATTGACTATTTACAGGCACCAAACATTGGCATCACATCAACTTCATTTTTCAGAAAGAAAGCACAGAGGGGTTAAGGAGCTTGCCCAAGGTCACACAGTAAATTGTGCAGCTTAGACACACACTCGAGACTGTCGGAATTCAAAATCTATGCTCTTTCCATTATACCACAAAATAGAAAAATACATATGCCCCCAAACTCACCTCTAATGTGATTTTTGTCAGCTCAATGCAATTATCTTGAATTAAAAACAAACAACCTCCCTCTCATGCATTCCACTTACTCAGCACTTTATGGCACAAGGTCATTTATATCCATAACAATCCCATGAAGTAGGTACCCTTTTTTTTCAACCATGTGTTATAGAGAAGGCAACTGAAGCTCAGAGAGTTTAATATTCCCAAGTCTTACCCTTCCAGGAAGTGGCAAAATCAAGATTTAAACCTGCAATTACTGATGTCCAACCCACACTTTTAACAATCATTCCAGGTTACTTCATTTACCCTCAAAGATAAACTCACTGTCACATTAAATTCCACAGTAAAGGAGTTTTGGAAATCGCCCAGTCCTTTGGCAGGGAAGGTATCTTGATCTCCATTCTGCAGATGAGGAACCAAAGCCCCCAAAGGTGAAGTGACAGGGTTAAGGCCACAGATTGCTGACCCAGCATTTATAAGCTTAAGTCTCATGCCTCTTGGGGTTTTGCACCTCAACCCCCTAAAAGCCCCTTCCATCCCCTCAGACCAGCCTTAGCCCAGGGCACTAAAAGGGACTCAGGGGTGTAGTCTCCCTGAGGAATGGGCATCCGGCTCTTGGGGAATGAGGCTCACAGGCAGGCAGCCTAACCGAGGGTGACCGCTTGACACCCCATACCTCATAGTTTCTGGGTTTACCTTGGAGGAAAGAGAAGGAATCTTCCCGCCCGGAGACTGCTGATAGATGTGAGCAGTAGTGAGGTAACAGCAACAGCTCTCAGGCTGAAGGCTGGCTTTTTATTTTCACACTCGGATTGCCCACCCCCTCTTCCCAGTGGCCAATCCCTGTCAGAGTTTCCATTTCCTGCACTCTTGCAGTTTTCGTTTCTTCTGTAGCTTGGCTCAGTGACAGCCTCTCTGCATCCCTTGCTGGCTGAAAAACGTAATTCAAGCCGAGGAGTTTGAACAGCAAAGAGCATTCAAAGCAGGTCACACTACAGTGGGCGCCATGGCCATGCTGGGTTTAGTGACGCCTGACCACCAGCTCCTTTTTGGGCTCAAGGCCTTTCACAATTCAGTTCGATTAATAATAATGCCTACCATTTATTGAGCACTTGCTGCATGCCAGAGCTGTATGTATTGATCTCTTTCCAATCCCACAATAGTTATGTGAAGTACCATATGCTGTTTATAATCCTCGTTTTGCAGAGGAGGTTAAGGTTTGTGGAAATGAAGTCATTCAATTCCATTGTTCCCTCAGGCTGGCTACTCCTGGGTGCTGGGCATATGGTAAGACCAGTGAAGCCCATGTTCGTGTGGCCATGGTCATACATTCTTGGCCATAAAATGGGTTCTCTGGCTCTAGGTAATGGATTGAGCATTCTTTAAACCTTTGGATGGTGATGCTTACAGGAGCACTATGGGAAGAAATGTTAAGTTCTAGTAAGGATGAGTCATTGCTTTCTCCAGTGTGGAAGAGAGCTGGTACAAATGACCTGTCACCAAGTGGCTGGCTGCTCCCTCTGACCAATGTTGCTACACTGCTGCCTGCTGCTTGCTGGTTGGCTTTTTTTTTTGGCAGTTGCTAGATCAGCCTTGGGGAGAAGGAGCCCAAGTTGTTGGACCCAGTCATAGCTTCCTTGCCACCATGGCCACTCTTTTATAGGTCTTTTACAAAGCATAGAGTAGCTAAGTTTAGAGGCTGGCTGACATCCATAGGATGGGACATCTGACTGTCGCCTTACAGCCATTCTTAGACCACCCCCCCTGCATTAGCCTCTGACCCATTAGTCGAGAGAGTGCCTCGGAAAACTAAGGCCGGATGGAATGATATCTGTAAAGCTCTCTCGGGGGGGCGTCTCGGCCTGACTGGGACCTGATGGAATGATATCAGCTGTCTCCCCTGGGAGGACATGTAATTATGTCTTGGGGCAATGTGGTGGAGTACGAAGGCATAGCATTTGCTGGAGTACATTGGGAAAAGGTCATTGGAAAAGGCCTTAAGGCGCACCAGTATACACGGTTAATGACTGACAGCACAGCAGTTTACTTCCTTGAAAAGAATCAATAAAAACCATGCGTTGACCCGATTCGGTGGCTCAGTCTATCTCTGAAGGCTGAGTCCCTTGGTCTGGCTCTTAAATCTTACTTTTGTCTCTTGTACTTATTCAATCTGCGCCGCCCCTCTCGTGTCCCATTTGCCCTTGCCACGCTGGACGTGACATCTGACCATCTGGCTGGAGAGCTTCCTCTGCAGTGGATGGTCTCTGGTGAGGATTAATGTGAGACACAAAGATCTGCATGCTTTGTGCCCACTCCTATAGCTCCGTCCACATGTCCCTTATCCAGACCTGCTTATCTCCAAAGTTCCAGTCTTGTTCTTTCCATGCCTTTGACCAACTAGCCAAGCCATTTGCCACTTATCAGGAATTAGTGTATATGTGAACCTCAGTCCATGTCTTCCTCAATACAAAGGGCATGACAAAGTATACTTGTTTATAGTTCTGCCCCTTGGGAGGATTTACCACTGTCCTTCAGGGCTTCCCCCGACTGGGCCTGAGATAGAGTGATCCATTTCCAGCTGGTGCCGAAATATTTCACTGACCTACCCTTGAAATGGGTCCAACTCCTTTCCTCCTTTATCACTTGGTTGTAAGGAACCCTCCATGAGGCCATAGGTATGGGTTAAAGGAGAGGTGTCAGATCAACAGTTAGGTGCCACAGGAGTTTGAGCTGCCTGTTTATTTGATTTACTCATGCCCTCTGGACTCTTTGGGCCCAACTGCAAATATACCACTTCCAATAAACCACAGGATTTCTGCCTGTGCCTGTCTGATAACATCTACCTTAAGACATATATCCACTTGGCATCCAGTGATCAGATGCTCAGTCACTACTGGGCCCAGTGACACATCAGGATCTTTTTGTTCAAATGGACCATGGTGAGTATGGCCTTACTCCAAAATCCTAGGAGTCCTCACCGTAACCCTTCTATCTGAGCTTTCAAAGACTCCCTACAGAAACTTTATCCCAGACAGATTCCTCCAGCAACTGTGTATCTGCAGAATCATATAATCCAAAATGGCAGCAGAGCCTGTTTTATGGTTTGAACCTGCTGTACAGCCCTTTCTTGCTCTGGGCACCACTCACAATTAGCAGCCTTCCAGGTCACCCAATAAAAGGGTGAAGAAGTAGTTCTAAGTGTCTGTATTCTGCCTCCAACATCCAAAGAGGCCCACTAAACATTGTGCCTCTTTCTAAGTGGTGGGGTGTAGGAGAAGAGATAACTTGTCCTGGCATTCCCTAAACCACTGAACTCCTAAAAATGTTCCCAGTGTGGCAGGACCGTGAATCTTCACGAAATTTATCTTCCACTCTCTGGCAAACATGATGCTTTTACCCCTTCCTGTTCATATCCAATGAGCATGATATCATCAGTGTAGTGGGCCAGCGTGTTGTTCTGTGGAATGTCAAGGCCATCAAGGTCCCTGGAGACTACATTATAACAGGGAGTTGGAAAGTTGACAAAGCACTGAGGGAGAGAATGAAGGTGCTATCATTGTGACATTGTACATAAAAGCAAGTTGCCTTTGATCATCTCTTCTCATGCGCATTAAAAAGAAAGCATTTGTGGGGGTTGGGGGGATGAGTGAAGGGGATTAGGAAATAGAAACTGCCAGTAATAAAATAAGTCATGGGGACGTAAAGTACAGCATAGGAAATATAGTCAATAATATCATAACTATGTATAGTGTTAGATGGGTACTACGCTCATTGGGGTGATTACTTCATAAGGTATATAAATGTCGAATCGTTATATTGTGCACCTGAAACGAATATAATTCAAAAATAAACTAATAAAAAGAAAGCATTGGCCAAACCAATAACTATACACAAGTGCTAGAGCTTGCGCTGATATGCTTCAGTAAAGATACCACATTCGGTAGAGCAGTTCTGATAGGGGCTATCATGTGGTTACATTTACGGTAGTCCATCCATCATCCACCATAATGCATCTTTTCCTGGAGGCCAGACAGGTGAACTGAATGAGGATATGATGGGGAACAAAACCTCAGCTAAGGTATTAGATCGGAAATAAATCTGTAGAAATAAACTGTAGGGCAGTGTAATGGTTAATTTTATGTGTTAACATGGCTAGGACATGGTTCTCAGATATTTGGTCAAACAGTAGCATAGATATTGCTGTGAAGGTAATTTTTACATGAGATTTACATTTAAATCAGTACACTTTGAATAAAGCAGATTACCCTCTAGAGTGTGGTGGGCCTCATCCAATCAGTTGAAGGCCTTAGAAGAAAAACGACTAACCACCCTCCACACACACACATACACCCCAATTTGGAATAGGGAATTATTCCTTTAGTCTGCCTTTGGACTTGAACTGTAACATTAATTCTTCTCTGAGTTGCCAGGCTGCTGGCCTACACTGCAGATTGGGGACTCGTCAGAATCCACAATTACATGAGCTAATTCCTTAAAATAAATCATTCCCTTTCTACATATATACACATCTATTTGGTTCTGTTTCTTTGGAGAACCTTGACTAACATGCAGTTTCAGGGGTTTCTGCTTCGCTTTTCCTATCATAATAGCCTTTACTCCAGAGTTCATGGAATCAATGAGAAGATCTGTCATCTTCTGTGGAACCCATTGGACTTAGGCTAAACTCCACCTATCACTTGGCCTCTTTTAGTTCCTATTTTAACCAGAGAACTATGATGGTATTTTGTGTCTCCTACCTTCTGTGTCAGCTGAGGCTCTATATTGTTAACAATCTTTGAAAATTCTGCATATCCTCCTTTTTCCAATGCACAGTTACAGATTGGAGGGATATTTACTATACCTAATTATGGTGTCATGGCAGTCATTCCTTAAGGGGGCATGGCTGAGGGATTCTGGTTCTGTGAACTTAGATCTAGAATCTAGGTGAGGGACTGTAATTGTCCATTGTGGTAGCTGATGCTTACCAGCTCTTGATTTTTTTTTAATATAAAAATCAAGGATCACCCAGTCAGCTGTCTATTCATCATATCCCCATAATCAATTTTCCATAGATTGCTGCCTCTAAAGTTACCCATATTGTCATTCTGGCCTGCTGCCCTTGACAGTAATTATCGTCATTGGCCTTGGACACCACCTCTCCAATTCTGGTATCCCAACATCACTATTGATATTAGGGATCCCAGTTCCGTGGCAGCATTTCTTACTCTTCTTAATCCCAGCCCACCAAAGACCACTGAACTACTCAGAGATGCTAGTGTTCCCTTTATCAGTGAACTCCTTATTGCCTTAGCGAAAAGAATATCCTCTGGCCCCTCCTGGAGAACACAGTCAGGAGCTGAGTTCTTGGATCCTACATTCCCATCTCTCTGAACTTTCTGACCTCTTCTGAAATGCTCTACCATGGAAGTTCTAGCATCTTGACCTCATTTATTGTAGGCCATCATCCTGCCCAGGCTTTAAGAAACCCTCCTTGCAAACTATTAAGACTGTATTTCAATTATCTATCACTGGAAGACAAACCACCCAAAACATAAAGGCTTAAAACAATAGCAATTTATTATTCCTCACAATCTGGGTTAGGCTCAGTTGGGTTTTCTTCTGCTTCATGTAGTGTTTGCAGGAGCTGAAATGTCCAAAATGTATTTTTCACTTACATAAACGGCACCTCAGCTGGGACGGATGGAATACTGAGGGCTGGTCAGTCTTCTCAGTATGGTCTCTGCACATGGCTAGCTCACACTTCCTCGCAGTACAATGGTCTCAGTGTGGTTGGATTT